CCTGGATTTGCCTAAGTATCAAAGCGTCGTAGGATTCTGAGCCGTCTCCAAAACCACGTCCCTGCATCAGTGAACCGTATGGTCGCGCCCATGGCATACGGTATTACCGAACGTAGTCCTTACAATTCTCGTGAAACCTAAACTCCAGACATCTCTTCCTCATAATGCATAACGGGGTGGGGGCCTGTTTTACTGTTAATCTTTGTACTTGACTGCTATGGCAATACTTCACACGTATGTTCATGCCTCATAGAGACAACGTTCATTACATATGCGCACTTCATTTTCAAGCAAGCAGCACTGTTTTTTCGTGCCAGCAGACGACGTTATAGCGCGGGATTGTTCAACGACTGACCTCGTAAAATACCAAAGTGTAGAAGCATAAATAAATTTCGGGAAGATCGAAACAAAACACCACGAACAACACACAATTTTTCCCTATTAGTGAGACTTTTAAATAACGGTAAATCTCAGAACAGTGTAAAAAAGTGGATTTTACGGACCCTTCTAACATTGGAAAATAGAACTTGCAAAATTTTGCACTAATTTCATTAATTAATTTTCAATAGAAAATGATTTTTTTGAGACAAAAATCTAGCACCATATTAAAGATTCACCCTTGTAATGCATTGATTTCAGGCATTTATTTTTAATCCGCCGGATAAAATTTTTAATAATCAAGTCACTTGAAGCACACCAAAATCGTATCGATCAAACGGTGCACGAATATTCAAAACCATTTTGTATCCATTTTTATTACCAAAATGGTATAAACAGCACGAAGGTGATGGCTTTCTTTTAGATTGTACCGATTTCGTTGTACTGATACCATTTCATAAAGGAGAATTGTTAAATTATTGACATTTCCTGTTCACTTTCGCTGCTGTGGAGACGGACCAGTGCGGTACCAAGACGTCAAAGTCGTTGCGTCCTCCCCAGCACTAGAATTGACATGAAGTCGGTAATTGGCCGGGTGTAGTCCACCTTCCTCCTCGGGGTGCACCACTACAAATAAATTCCCATAGACAGCAGTGATAAATCCCCATTTTCTAGCACCACTACAAATAAATTCCCATAGACAGCAGTGATAAATCCCCATACTTCACAAATATTTTAAAAATACTCACAACTCTCACAGGTGTTTAGGCTGCACAGAAAAATCATGTTCCACGTGTCCTCTTTCATTTTCCTTTCAATTTTCGGGGGGTTGACCAATGAATTTTTGAGAAATTCTCACCAGAAGCAGACCACCCCCAAAATGCAGAAAATGTCCCTGTCCAGAAAAGTAGCCATTTTGAAAAACCCTCCCTCAGCAAAATGGCTTAAATAGTGCCACTTTTAACCCCGATTGCATCCACATTGCTCGGAATTGGAAGCCCTGAGTCCGGCCCAGAGGTCCAGTCTCATATTTCTTGAATTCCTCAGTTCCATGGCTCTCAGGACCCTCTAATATAGAATATTTTGAGTCTATAACTTTTATTAGTGAGCTTGGCGGACATATTTCTGGCCTAATTACCAGGATGCACCCCTCGCGATCACCGTCGCGATGCGAACGCTGTTGGGTTCGGCCATGAGTTGGGCGTACATTGAATAACGTTAACACGCGGGAACAGTCAGTGCAACCTCGCTCCCCCAATATGTGTGTTCGGCGGTGCCCAGTCACCGATCTCTATTATACTGACCCAGTTACCGACTTGAACAATCTGCAAGCCCTTTGTGCACAACATATGGGGCTCCCTGCCAAAATAAATATACTTTGTCTTTAAGCATCGTATTAAAAGGGATATTAATGCAAGATATGAAAAAAGTGGCACTAATTAAATATAGACATCCCTATATATAAAATGGATGAGTCTGTTATGTAGCGTGAGCTACTACTGGCGCTATCTATGGAAAGTATGAATATGCAGTGTGTTGCGTGCATGAATATCCATCCGGAATCAGGTTGGTCAAGTCATTAGACTGATACCAAAAACCGGCACTGAACAGCCCATGGGGTCTCATGGGATCAGAAATAAAAATGATAAACTCTGCGTATACTGGACTAAGTGCGACTCATTCATTCTTCCACTGAGAAAGTGAGAGGCAACGGAAGATTCACGATAGTGCACCTCCAAGAGTTGCAACGCATTGACCAATCACGATATGCAAAATCTGTCGACCCAATACACGTTTGGAAAGGGTTGACAGATTTCGCGCGTTGTGATTGGTCAACCCCACGTTGTAAACTCTTGGAGAAGCACTTTTGTGAATCGCCCGTATTGGAACAAGGTGACAAATTAGATTGAGATATTTTAAATTCAGAAGGAAACAGTGTGTTCATCAGTGTTATGGAAGTGCATAGCTAGATAAGCTAGATAATAATTTTTGGGTTATTTGAAAACTAAATTTTCATTACTTTTTTAAGACAGGGTACAAAATCAATGCTACTGATTTGCGTTTGTCCTGAAAAATTCACTATTTATGCTCCGTTTCCTGGAAATCCATTGAAAAAGATGAAACCTTATTTTGCAATCAGAGCGCGCGAAATCAGACAGCCTGTTCCTATTCCGTTATCAAGTGCAAATCTTGCGCATGCGCACTTTGGAAATGTAACAGCTAGTATCAATTCTTCGTTTTAGCTGTTTTTCCCTAATTTTAAGGGATGTCTTTTCCAATCCTCCATACAACAAGGGGTTGGAGCCTTCTGTGTGTGTTTCTTTATCTGTTTTGTTTGGTGAATATTCTTTGCAGTGTGAATGCAAGGGGACTGGCATGCAGTGGGCATTCTTTGGTTAGGTGTGGTTCTTTTATGTTTGGTTACTTGAGTGTGTAGGCTATATGTGTGGGAAATATAAAAGTGCATGTGGGGCGTGATTGGAGTCTCTCTCTCACTAGAACTCTTGACTTGTCACGTCTGTCCCGCTCTGTTGCTCTGCTGCGTTGTTACTGACTGCACAAGTTTGGGTGTTTCATCCCACTGCTTTTTGCAACTCGACCTTGGCAATATTAGATGCCGTGTAGTGCAGCATTGCAAGCCTTACTCTGCTTGGGCATTCAGGCTCAACGGAAGGTTTGCTGGTTAGCTGGGGACCACGAGCGGAGGAACTTGCTGCCCAACTGTGAGTTAAATCACAATTGTCACCGATCTATTTCCTTGGTATTTATCCATCGAGTGGACGTATTCTTGTACATGTATTCACAAATAGTATTTCAGATTGTGGCAATGTTCGGCTAAATTTTCAACCAGGGTATTATCAGGGGATATATTATGTTGTATTTGAAATTTCAGATAGTAATTCTGGGCTTTCAGCATTGAGAGTTTTTTCCGAGTGGCTGTCCGAGGGGGAATCCAGAGGAGGTGCTTCCACGGTCAAGACTCGACTCCTTGAACTGGATGACCGGTGGATCGACTTGGACCCCTGAACGCCATTCAGATGGCCCAAGAACATTGGGCTCTGCGGTCAAGTGTAGTCCCTACAATTGTGTACAAGTGTAAATTATCGGAAACTGTGGTGCACAATTGTAATTATAACCGAGTGGTGCACAAGAATAATACTTAAAATAAAGTGGTGCACAATTGTAATTCATAACTGAGTGGTGCACAAGTGTAAATTATCAGAATCTGTGGTGCACCAGAGTAGTTCTTGGAATAAGGGATATTTAACGTATGATATTCTTGGGTTGTTCACAAGTGATGGAATAGTGCAGTGTATCTTTAAAAAAAGGAATCCGGAAGAAGTATCATATATGCAACTTGTGCAGGAATAAGCTGTCCATGACACTTGGTTTTTAAGAGACGCGGATTGGTTGTCACCGGTGTTTTGTAAATTCTGTGTAAATTTTTAAATAATAAATGAATTGTAAATAGGTAGACTTTATATAGAAAAGTTTCCGTGTCGATTTATTTGAGCTGACGATACACTAACAGGCAATGAGCGCCATGAACATACGTGTTCTAAAGCAAATTTTGGCAAAAACCTTTCTAAAGTTCCAAAAAGTATTGTTGTTTTTTACGGGTACTTTTGTTAGTTTAGAGCCCCCGTCATGTTTTCCTGGTAGATTTGTAGTGAATCACTGAATAAATGAACATGAAGTAGTTGTCATTTCAAAATGCCACTGAGCCTGCACATACTGAGCAATCTCTGGATTTAGCAACCACTTTTATTTTTGATTCTCAGAACAACTACAAGCAAATTGAATGCGGAGACGGAGTGTTTCCTGTAAAAGTAGTTCGTATTTGGCGTTGAACCAACCAGCTTCCGCCCAATTGCCTTTCATCCTGTGTCGTCTATCATGAAAGTCTGCATCTTGAATTTATCAACTCCAAGCTAAAATTAGCTGGTTGGGGAGGTTCTCTTGGCTTGAGGTGAAGTTAGACTTGCCATGGAGGTCATGCATCCAGTTCTTCCAGCTGATCGTCATTTATTTCAATACTTTTGCAGGGTGCAGGGTGTATGCCCCCCAAAAGAAAGCAATCTAAATAGAATGGATAACATCTAATACTTTGAAATTATGAAGCTAACCGAAAGGGTAATTTCGTTGTATTTCGCTGCAAGAAAACCTCAGTGTGTTCCTTGTGTTCTATAATATCCCAAGAAGACCAAGGGAGGTTACTCGGTCGGTATGTTTGTTATGCAGTACATCACATCAATATCATGCAATCATTTTAAGAACGAGGGGGAAAGTGCGCTTCAAAAACCGTGTAACCACAGATTCTTGCATAAATCATTTGCATTTGGCCATATTAATTACGCAATAAACCTGTGGGCTTCAAAAGTGTCTAAGCTGCGTTAATGCAGCGCTGACCAACACAAGATGAACACAACAGGACGCCGCGTGTGCTGCTACAGCTCTCGATTAGCGCCTCTGTCTAATACAAGGGCAAGATATCATCCTGAATTCGGGCCTGTTTGGCTCAACAAATCCCCCTAAATGGCAAAGAATTGGTCCCAAACAACTCATCATTCAACTGTCATATTAGAGTTCGTATGTCTTACCACGGCGGGCGGCACATTTTTGTGTATTCCGCGTAGTGCACGCCGAGGGAATGAACATCCTAAATCACGGCCTGTGTATCACCGTGAAGGCAGGTAAGGCCGCATTTTGTATGTATTTCCAATAGGGAATAATTTCTTGTATCTACTTTGCAAGTTCTGCCCAATGAATGTTAGGTCAAAGCGCCATGGTGAATCGCGTAAATGAGCGTTGGTTGTTTCTCAAAATGAGGGAGGGGGGGCTGTCACTCAGAAAAGGTCAACCCAGGAGCGGATCCAAGAATTTGTCCTGGTGGATAGGCTTGTCAGATTCTCTTTGATGTTCGATTGTTGGGTACCCTTACATTGTACTGATGCACGTACTTTTGTACAGTATAATAGGATGTCAATTTATTTTATTATTACTGTAATTGTTATTTCAGTTTTTCCATTTTATTTTTGGGATGTCAGTGATTCCCCTTAAATCCCTCTTCTGGATCCGTGCCTGAAACCCTATTATTTTCCTCGTCACATTACATTTTAAGACGGTGAGCCCTTATTTTCCATACCGGAAGTTGTTCATAAAGGTTGTACCTTCCCCCTTTTGTGTATAAAAGAAATATCTCCTCTTCCTGCTCACAAAAAGTCTAAAATTAATATGCAAAGGAAAGGAAATCATAAAAATCTCCCTGGTTTGAAAATTGTCCAGAAAAGATTTCATGGTCTACTATCCAGGTACATTGTAGAACACATTAAAACCGTCGTCCCAGAAACTGTAAAAAGCTTGAATTAAAATGACTAAACATTGAATACCTTCACACTGCAATTTTAAGTGCCTCGTACTTAGTAGTTATCCGCCTGAAAAATCCTCTTGGGATTTTAACTAAGAGGTTATTAACGCGGGACAACATGTTGGTATTGATGTAATGAAAATGCATGGATTTCCTGTTGTAAATAAATCCAAACGTCCAATTTAAATATGCTTCTTGGTAGAAACAAGTTTGAAACCTTAAGATTTTGTCACATCGAATTTTGGCCTGCTGCCCTAAACGTATTTCCTTCAGTAGGCTTTATACAATGTCTTGAACAAACAGGGCTTACATATATATGAGTATTGTCAAATACGGCTCTTAGACTATTCAATAAGTTTTATTCATACACTTTCGTGACATTTTGTCAAAACACACGGAGGGAAAATGAAAGATAAAACTTCGCACTTTAATTAAAATGATGGGGTATACTTTTGGACTGCCACAATGATATGAATAATTGTTCTTGTCAAAGGACAATAAAAGTAATACATTGGAACTTTGTAGCCGGTATCAACTGGCAAGTCTGTCATAGGTCTGAGGTGAGTAATTCACACACTGTCAAACAAAAACACAAGCAATATAGGAAATTTATAACCGTTTCCTCTAATTCGGATCGGCCGGTTGACCAAGCAGTCCAGCAAGGGATTTCACGTACCCTTTTGACCCGATGCAGCGTACTCTAATTCAATTTGTAAGAAGGAAGTCAAACCTTTCGGAACTATTATTCCAAGTGCTCCCGCGAGGGCGCTGTTTAAAAAAAGAGAGCTGTGCCCTCCATACAATGAGTATTTTCCATCAAATTATCTTCATTAAATGAAGATAAACAGTGATTTCTGTTATTGCTGATATTTATTTGTTACACGACCCCGTCAAAGGCAGATCCAACATCAGTTTTTTTTTGGGGGGGGGTTCGTTTTTGGGGAAAATTACCGGGAAAGTTTTTCTGTGGAACCTTTTAATGCCTTTCTGATCAGCCAGGCGACATTTTGGGGCTTTTTACACGCCGCTAGAAGGAAGGGAATGAGATTGACCCTAAAAATAGTCTTACTCGTATTGTTCGAAAAATAATATTTTGGGCTCTTTTGAGAAGGAATGGTCCCCGTGCCCCCCGCCCTCCCATTAGCCCTTGGCCCATCTGACTAATGATGCACCTCATCTGCAGAGGGCGCACCTTTTAGATTCTCTTACACGAACAACTGTTCTTTAAAATAAGGACGTGTATCTCCTATTTTTTTCAAACCAAAGATAGATATTTGTATATAGAGTTTTTTCTAACCAAAACAGTCAAATGTTCAATTTATAAACTCATTTTGTAATCCTTTTATGGTTTCTATCATTGGATACCTTACATTTACCTTAAAGAAAAATATATTTCCATAATTGGCTCACCTCCCTGGAAAGGGGGAGCTTCCAATCCATCTCTGCTCAGAAACGCCTATTGACTTTGACCCGTCTTGCAGTTTCATGAACTCGAATCTGATAACCACATATTCCACAATGTGCAAACTTGTGTAATATGTGTGATCTAAATGAAGTAATTAACAAAAAACGGCCAGATACACTGAGTGTGTCATTTATAGGCAACACTCATAGCAGCAAGATGTTTTAACCCCTATTGTAACCTTTAACTGTCAAATAATTTGAAAGAAATTCATCATTTCACCGGGAACTCAGAATTTGACAGAAATGCAATTTATATGTTACGACACTGGGGTACATTAAGACATGGAATATGAATTACAACAGGTATTCATCTATAGGTTATGTGGGATTTGACTAAACAGACGCCCTGTCACTGATGCAAATGCAGTTTGTTTCTGTCGTCCAAAGTGCATTTTATGTCCTGAACGAGGGGCACCTTTCTAATTTTACACCAGTTTTAGTTTGCGGTATAAGGAGGGCATGGTAGGCAAATAGTACAAATTCAGTCCAACATCTCCATGCTTAAAAGACTATGACACTATAATTTCTTAAGTTGGCAACTCAAACTTGTCGATTACAAAGTCCCGTAAAAATAATAAAGAAATTAACGAATTGTATTCATGTGAAATTGCATAGAAACATAAACAAACTAAAAATGAAGATTACCTAAGTTTTAATATGTTGTTTTTAATTCAATTAAATTTGTCAACCATTACAATTGTTACTTGCAGAGTAATGTAAATGTAATGAAAAAGGACTAAACTCTTTGTAGGGCTTTTTAAATAATTTTCCTTTATGAGCTTAATAGTGATTAGTGTAAGCTCGTCTTTCTGCAGACCAGCTGAATACTGCAAATAAGCAAGTAACTGTATTGAATTTCTGCAAATAATTCTGAACGGTCAAGCAAAAAACCATGGTCTAAAAAACAAAACTGAAAATTAACTTGTTTACAAGAGCGGTGATGGCCTTACATCGCCACCGATTAATTTCACTGGCAAGAGTGTTTCACTACCTCAAAATGGCGCCTCCAACGACGAGTCTCTGGAATTCTCTGTCCTCGAACGGGAAAAGCTTCTGTGACGAAAAACATTTCTCTGCAATGATATAAGAGTACTGTACGTGACTTGCAAACGAATACTTTGGTCCTCAAGTTTCCTTTTCAAGTCAGTGATTACTTTTTTCAGACGGTCCCTTCTATGGACAACAAGCTGCTGTTTCAACTTAATTTTCTCACGCCTGCGCATGTCCTCCTCTTCTTGAGCCAATCGAATCTTTTCATCCACAGCTGCCTTCTCGTCTCGAAGACGCCTTACTTTTTGTTCCAGGCTTTCTCTGATCTGACCGATAGTCCGCGATTTGTTGCTGGGCTGAATTGATGCGTCCCGAAAGGTTTCAGAACCACCTCTACCGTTTGAGCCAATGGACTCCTCAGAGTCTGTGACGTCATCTACTGACTCATCCCTTTCTGTGATGTCATTCAAAATTTTCTCAACTTCTAATTCTTCTGTTAGGCTGAGTGAGTTTTCTGAGATCCCAGAGTCCTCAGTCATTAACCCAGAAGTCTCAAGCAGTTCCCCACTATTTCCAAAATAAACATCCTCGAAAGGTGATTTAGGTGACGCAGCAACTTCGCGTGCACAGAAAACCTCATTAGCATTCACCTCTAAATTATCCAGTGTCCCTGCCATGCTAACTTCCACATCAGCTGCACGTGCGCTGGGTGGATCATGTCGCTCGTTGATTCCGCCACTAGCTCTGCCTATTTTGTTATCCATCAAATGATGGAGTTTCATGATTCTGTAGTCGTCTAGGTGTTTGTCTGGAAGCCACGACTGGAACAGAAAATAAAATCAAAACAGTAAAAAGATGAAAACGAAGTAAAATTTATAAGCTAGGGTTTGAACCAAGAGGTACGGCTCTAAATCCTCGAGCTGATATGGAAATATCATGAAAATTGAGAGTCCTGCTGGAAGAAAAAAATAGAATTAATCAACAGGCAGGCATTCATACCAGATTTTTTCTCCAACGCCCCGTCAACTGTTACACGGCAAGTGGTCATATGTGCGTACCAAAGACAATGTTTGCAGACAATTTTGAAGTCTGTCGTTCACGGAGATGTTGTGATCGCCTCAAACTCCTTGCAGTTAAGTCAAAATGTTGTAAAAATGTTGTCAAAATGCTTGTAACAGAACAAAGCTTCGAAGCGATGCCCGCATCACAAGATGCATGGAGAGTTCTTAGAAGTGACGTGTTCAATTCTGTGTCCAGTCAAACGATGTTGAACATACAACAAATGAGCCGTGCCATCTTGAGATATGAACGACTAGGTATCAACACATCTCTGTCTATACTTACCACCCGCCTTTACACCTCCACGAACCAATTTACATGATGCACGTGCGTCTGAACCATGAAGGAGTGCGCACGAATATTCATCGTGATTCATCATTACGCCCGCATAAATTAGGCTCTCTTGCTATCGCATTTCCACGCAATGATTTCCTAAAGGCCAAAATTGTGAAGTCTCATTAAAGCTAACGAGAGTACAGCATGGTTGGTGAGTACTTTATAATTAAGTTCTTTGATGCTGGATGGTAAAGGGCCCGTTTTTATTGGTGGCAGTCTCATAAGAGTTAAGACTATTGTATCCTTGTGTTTAACACAATATG